GTTTGTTCTTCTGTGCAGGGACAGAACTATCTACCAGACTTTCTAATCTTGCTCCGACTTATTCTTTCTACATGGACATGGGCAAACAGCAGCAAACAGTGGGTGAACAATATGTGTCCCAAATGCCTCCCCCATGCACTCCAAAGAAAGAGGCAAGCCATGTGTGAGCAAAAGAATGGACAATGAAGGATGCCCAGCTCCCAAAGTTTCCACACCAGCTTCTTGAGCCACTGACCTTCGCCATGTGGCAGGGTGATGTCAGCACAGCCTCAGGGCTGGCAGCTTTGAGCTCCTCCCGGAGACCTCTCAGCTCCTCCTCTGCTGCATCCATTGTCCTGGACTGGCCTGGAATGAAAATTAGGAGGAAAAAGTGCTGTAATGATATCTGAAACAGAACCGTGGCTCCATGGAGGAACCATGTGCAGTGTCATGAGCAGTGTGGTCCAAGGGTGATGTTCGAGGTCGGAGTGACTTCAGTGGGGTCAGAGGTGCAGCAGTATCAGAGCTGCTACAATCCTCTCCCCATTCTTGCTAGGGGGGCTTCTTTTCACACTTCCCAAAGGACGGTCAGGCCCTTCACACCTGGGAATTGCAGAAGCCCCCAACCAAGGCCTCATCTCCTTCCATTTCTTGAGCTCAAAGACTGTACGGAAAGGCTGGAGGATCCCAAATAGACAACTCTGGATGCCAATCCAAACTCAAGGACACTGGCAAACCTTCCAAGTTGGACTCTTGCTGGGTTATTGACTTTCATCACCTCATTTCCCTGAGGCATGAGGGAACCCTCCCTTCTCAGACAGCCCTGGCTGGCTGCAACAGCAGCTCTGAGAGCCATCCTGTACCTTCAGCAGCAGGTGCTCCCACCACACATTGTCCTGGGAGGTCTCAGGATTTCCTGAAGGTGGGAGGCAAACAAGAAGAGTCTTAGTTGCCTCCCTGGGCATCAAGTCTTTCGAAACTGCTGCATCCGCACCGTCACCTCCTGGAATCCCAAGGTCACAGGCCCTGCACTCTAGTACATACCATGCTGGCATGTCTGCAAGTTGTGCGTGACCAGTCCCTGCCGAAATGGCCATAAGGGGCATGGAGGGTGCTCGGCACCTCACGGATGTGCTCAGCACAGCACAGTACAGGACTGGGCTTCATAGAAAGGCAAAGTGCACAGAGGTTTCCTCTGGCAACAGAAACCTCCCAAGTGGGCAGGGAACTGCAGGAGAGGGGTTAATCTGGTGGAGCCTTTCATGTGCAAACCCTACCCTGGGTCCCATCAATCTCCATGTTGTCAAGCCCCTGGATTTGCCCCCTGTGGCAAAGAGTAGAAGCTCTCAAGCATGCGATGCTGCAGAAGGGGAATGGTGCCACGGGGGGCTCCAGGAGGCTACAACTTCCCCTCTCCCTTTCCGTTCTGCAGAGATCACTGTGCTCCTTCCTTGCTTGTTACCTTCAATAGTCGAGAGCAGGATGGGAATCTGGACCCTCCACTGCTCTCCAACAGCAGGGTGGATCGTGCGGTGCAGAGCCCATTGTCCCCGCAGGGCAGAATGTGCGCGGCTGCGGTCACCCAGGGCCGAGGCAACCACCTGACAGTGAGAGAGAAACAGGGGCTCAGCTCTCAAGCGGGACTCCATGGCTTTCTTTAGGAGGGAAACTGGCCTCCACCATACATGGCCAGAGCATTCAGCAATCAGACGTAGGCTGAGGTTCTGTGCTAGGCTGATCCTGTACGCCCCTCCGCAGGCTGCGAGGCAGGGGCAGAGCCTGGCTCTGCTCTGCCAAGGGAAGGAAACTGCCAGCACAGGGCAGCGCGGAGTGTGGGAAGAGACGGCGCGTGCTCCTCCAGCTAAGGCTACAGGCACGTGTCCCCACACCACTGACCCTCCCCACACCTCTGGCAAGTACCTCTCCAGGGCTACTCACCAGCAGTCGCGCCAGCAGCCCCTGGGCCTTAGGAAATTTGGCTGGAAAGAGAAAGAGAGCATGGCCATGTGGGGCTAATTTGGAACTGGGCGAGTGATGCTGCTACAAGCCTGTCCATTCCCAATGCGCCCACCCGTGGATGCTCGGGGAGCTGGGCACAACTGGCACTTTCCTGGCACCTTCCGTGTCTGGATCTCAAGGAGCTTTACCAAGGAG